GGTCATTGCACAGGGACCCTACTGTGATCTTATTGAATGGCCTTGTCCTTGCTGACCTCGACATCTGCCACGCTGCTTGTGTGAAGCCCGTTGACTTCAACTGNGCACAGGGACCCTACTGTGATCTTATTGAATGGCCTTGTCCTTGCTGACCTCGACATCTGCCACGCTGCTTGTGTGAAGCCCGTTGACTTCAACTAGGGAAAATACCAGAAGTCTGGAAGCACATGTGGATTCGTGCTTGTAGCTGGAGAAGAGCCATTTTGGCAGAGGCACTGCATGCATGCGTAGGAGCGAGGGAGGAAAATGCAATTACAGTAAAATGCAAATGAGTGCGGGGAAATGTATGTGCACACGTGAGCATATTGAAAAAAGGCATGTAGAGTGCGGGCGCTGACAAAGATGGCAGTGATGGCAGGAAAAAAACAAACAAACAGAAGAGTACGGGTTAGCTGGGGATGGAAGAACTGGCAGCAACTGGTCTACCCCCAGATGGAGAGTTCTGACAAAAGACTAAAGCTTGCCCTATTGTTTAAGTGGACAGAACATCACCTCCCCAGTACACGCCTCTCCGATCTTCCCTCTCGTTCTTTGAGAGCTGGTTAAGTGCTGCATATATGCACGCTTACACCACCTTGTCCTAAAGAAAGAAATGATGAATACAGAATTGCTACATCTCTCTATAATACTGCAGATGTGCTCATAAAAGGAACATTGAACCCGAATGAAATCCTAGCTCAGAAAACGGTCTCTGTGATGTGGGAGATTCTGCACTGACAGCCTTGCATTACAGCAAAAGAAACAGTAGGGAGCGTGGTGGTCAAGGGTATCAACTGATAGAATACAACCCTGCATGTGCTTAACCTGGGGTCTGGACTATGAAGCGGGGTTACTGGCTTATTGCGGTAACTTGTCGGATTTAAGGTAGTCTGGGCAAAATGTAAGTGAACGAATATTAAGTCCATTTAAACTGTGGTACCTTAAATCCGACAAGTTACCCCGATAAGACAAGCAACCCCGCTTCGTAGTACAGGCCACTGAGCTACTCCCATGATACAAATAGCTGTGCGAATGGGTAAAATGCTAATTGGCATTGCATAAGACCAAGTCACAGACTGATTATTTGAAATGGACAAAATGGTCATAAACACAAGACTATAGTCCGCAAGAGTTTTCCCAGATTGTTCAAAAGTTCTAACAATGAAACACTGGAATTAACACAAAGAGCTTGGGCGCATTCCTTTGTTTAATGACACAAATATCTAAATGGGCAAATTTGTAGCATTGGTAGCATTAAAGCATTCAGGTTATCCTACATTTTAATTATGGATGTGTAAATCACTATTTCTACAGGATAACAGAAACCCTACGGTTTCCTTTGCATTAATGCAAGGATGTCAGTGCAGAATCTCCCACATCACAGAGACCGTTTTCTGAGCTAGTTTTTTTTTTTTTTATCTATCTAGAACATTAAGTTCGGCCTTGTAGGATTTGGTTCTCTGTTTTAAGTAGCCTTCTACATTCCAAACTGCTGGAGTTAAATGTCACCATACCAATACACAAATCAGACAATTAACCCAAGACAACTGTTCAAATTTAAAGCATTTTTGAAAGTTTATTTTTAGCATTACCTTGACATGATTTGCATGTGACTGCATGAAGTGCATGAGCTGCAAGTGTCTGGATCAAATCTCTCTAGTAACTGATTAAATGTGTACTTTGTGAAGAACGGAATGACTGCTCAGCGGGTTTCAGTCATGGAGTTGGGGGCTACGTCGCTGACCACTGTCCAATGACCCACCTACCCAGTGTGAAAGAAAACGTGTGTAACCTCAAAATGGGTCTTTTAGCAGCAAAGCTGGGAAATGATTAAACTACAAAATAGAAAAATGCTGGCAGAAAATATCCATGCTTAATGACTAGCATGAAATTATAGCTGTCTGATGATCTTTTTCATGCTTTACCACTAATCAGATGTCCATTAATTGAAGTCTAAGTCCAGTTACATTTGGGATACAGTGACAAAGAAACTGCTTGATTGGTTAAGAAAACAAAATTCTCATATACAACCTGAATTAACATCATTCTGCCTCATCTGCATGTTTAAATGTGCACTACTTCCTGACAGGACTGAAGTAGTATTAGATGTATGTGAATTTAAGCAGCAAGATAATTACACCTAATCTGTAGAGTTCTTCACTTCCAGCTCTAAGTTTCTCTCTGACAAGATTAAACACTTTTCCTGAGCAGTAGAATTGCACTCAGACTATAGGTCACATTCAAGGAAGAGACAGAAGCACATATAGTACGGAAAAAGCAGAAGGAGGAGATCATATGCAAGACCCAACACTCACATTAACACGCAGGCCTGCTGGCTCGTGATGGAACCAAGGACAGAACTGGGAATTAAAATCCTTACCATTGCTTCTGGGGATTTCATTTACTACTATTTCAAGTTTCACATCAGCCTGAATATGAAGTATTATCAGTAGTGAGTTCTCGAGACAGCTCACTCTTTTGTCAAGTGCACTCAGTGCCACCTCACTCTTCACATTAGATACAAATTTTGCTACTTAAGTGGATACTCCGAGTACAGGATGACAATTCTGGGGCCTGTAGGATGTCTGTATGTACCGTTACCAGCAAAAGAAACTTCTTTTAATTTGACTAATTTAAATTAAAAGACCAAGACTCGGTAATGTGAAAACCAAACAGTAAAACGGAAACCACAAGTTAGGTGCTATAAGAGTCACACATCACAAGCTAATGCATTGCATAAAAGCATTTATCTATGCTCTTCCAGTAGGAAGCAAGCCACAAGCTATTCCTTGTGTCAATGCTCTTTGTGTCCCACTGCTGTCAAAACTGTCAGATCTTAACTTCACAGAACGAGAGAGATCAGGACCAGCGCCTACAGCAGAGATCCCTGCTTCTAACAAAACAGAATCACCTAAAGGACCAAAGGCAGCTAATCACGCTAAATAAATCAATGGAACCATCTTTAGGATTCCTGCAAGATTCCTGTCCAGCTACAATGAAGTTCATTTAGCTCATAAGTCAACACCCATCGTGTTCCTGGTTTTATGTTAATGGGTTCAGTTTAATGTGTTCTTAAAATATCAAAGGAGAAATACCTTAAATGATGGTGAGATGTTCAGTACATTCACGAGCCACCTAATGACATTTTGGTCAAAGACGGAACATATCACAGTGGTCCCATAAGATTATAATGGAGCTAAAAAAATGTATATTGCCTAGTGATATCCTAAGGCAAGAAATTATACACGTGTTTGTGAGGATGCTGGTGTAAACAAACCTACCGCACAGCCAGCGGTATAAATGATAACTATGTTACTGGTTTATGTATGTACTATAGTGTATTGTACTTTTTATCGTTATTTAGGCTACACCATATAGCCTAGGTGTTTAGTAGGCTGTACCATCTGGGTTTGCGTAAATACTCTACGATGTTCGCACAATGACGTCAACAAAGTCGCATAACAACGCATTTATCAGCATGTATCCCCGTCGGTAAGTAACGCAGACAGATAATTAGAATTACTTCTGTAATTTTTTTTTTTTAAAGCTTAAGATTTATTTTTAAATGTAGGTCATGTTTACAATATTAAACCTGAGATAAATACGTGAAACTACATTAAAGAAAGTGAGAGAAAAAAACTTAAAACTTATAATTAGAGATTTAACACAAATTGCACATTAATATACGGGATTATTCCCCTCGGAATTTAGATTGTATTAGCTATTACAATAATAAAATGATTTTAGCATCCTCCACCCAGTTTTTTTCCATGACAAGTATCTTTCCTCTCATACAAAGGCACATAACGCAGCCCTGAAGGTTTCACGTAATTCATACATAACGTCACACAAATAAAGAAAATTAGACGTAGGTCGACGAAATATGTCAACCGTACAGTAACCCAAAAACTTGGTAAGCAAATCTGGTGATCTATATTATGTTATATTATGCTGTAAAGAAAATTCGAACGCACATTAAAACGTATTAATTAAATGCAAAACCTGCGCTTGTGACACGTAGTCAATTAGCAGATCTTCAGAAATATGTCCTTATTCACCTAGTAGTACCTGGAAATTGGTACGTTTCGGTTAATGGCGTATTGAGAAATGGGAAAGTAACGTGGCGGAGAAGGATCATTAATAACAAACCGAGCAAAGCAGGCAAAGCGGAGGACAACGAGGCGTCATCCTCATTAGCGCACAACCTTTAACATTTACGGATCATTAATTACAGTGTCACTTCGTCTCAATTAGCCTCATTATTCTGTTTAATTTCAGTTTAAAAAAAAAGTGGGGGTGGTAAAAAAAAAAAAAAAAAAAAAAACGTGCCCCGTCGTAACTCATTTTCATTTATGCGTGATTATTAGCTGCAGAGAAACTTTGCTAATCCGTCTTAATCTGCAGGACGACAGTAGGGCAACGTGAAGCGGGGCTGCTGCGAGTCACATTCAGCCATTTTGTACATTTAGGGAAATTGTAAACATAACGTGCAAGCAGCGGACGGCGAACATTTAAACGTTACCCTGACATTTATATATATGGGGAAGTTCGCAAAGATTTCGATAACTGGCTAAATAGACGTATGAGGTAAGCAGCCAGCGGTGGGAGCAGGGAGGCGGTCTGCCGGCGCTTTGCTAGCGGGGCCACGGCGCACGGTCACCGGCCCTCGCTAGCCGGGCTGGCTAGCTGTGCTATCGAGCAAATGGTGAAAGAAAAAAAATGTCAGCGGAGCACACAGACTGTCAGGACATATCGTCGGAGCCGCGGCCACACGGGCGTTTACTGGCTCGCCGCTGTTTTAAATGCTTCACACCGCCGGAGATGCACCTCTGCCCATTTTAAGCATAAAAGACAAAAACGCTTATTTTTAAATAAGTGCGTGAGAATGATAACATGGGAGAGCACTGCAAGTTGAAGCAGCCCACGTTAGCCAGGAGAAAAGCGAGCAGACGCGCACTTACTGAGTGTCGGGATTGTGGAAACATCATGTCAGTCTCTTTTTGAGTTTAATTCCTTCCCAAAGAAAAAGCGAAAGGCGTTTAGTTCTGGTTTTCTATGAACTGTTTCGAGTAGCCAGCCGCATAAAAAATGAGAGTACGGCTCGGTGAATGAAGCTGCCGGATTTCTGCCGCTTTAGCACCAGGATCAGGACGCAGCCGTCGGCCGACCGGTGCCTCTTCGCCGCCCCTCACGCCGGATTCCTGCCGCAGCTCGCCGGGGATCAGGGCATCATTCCCACGCCCGCGTTACGGCTGGCTGGCTGCTAGCGGGCTTCCCCCACGCCTCTCCGCGCCGCTCGCTTCGCTTTATTCAAACACCGATTTTGCAAAATAGAAAAAAAAGTGAGCGAACTTTTTTTGCAATAAACGAGAGCGCCTCACAAAATAATATTGGCCGATTCTGGCCTTCTGGGAGAAAACTTGACGATTTGGACCGCTGTGTTTGCAGCCGTCTTGGGTAGCTCCTTACACGTTACTAGGACAGAAGCCCTAATAAATAAAACCCTGCGCAATATCACCAGGAATGTCTGCTTGCACAAACAAATTAGAAATGGACAGGATCTACTAGTTAATGTTCTTGGGTTGGGTCCCGAATAGCTGAGATCCAAACACCAGAATTAAACACACTGCCGTTCCCAGCCCTTTTCTGGTCTTAACGCTGTACAACATGCAGGCAGCGTCGAGGTTTTAACTCTCCATGTGACGTGGGATTGAGGTGGCGATGCATAGACCCATTTTAGATGCCAAATAACCTACTTAAAACGAACTCGTTCGACTTTTAGAGTACATTGCACTTCTGTGAATTATATTAAAACTCAAACTGTGCGGTAGCTTGATTTGTACATTTAATATGATTGAGGAGCGCTACTTCAGAAACGAGTAGAAAGTTCCTTTATTGAAAGTAAATATAAGGACCTTAGAAAACAAACTAAATGATGATACCTCATCATAAAGGGTATTGCTAATCACTAATGTCTGAACCATTGTGTGCCTGTTCCTTTGTTCTGTATTTCTAAGTTAGATTTGCTACGGGAAAAGCCTTGCTGATTCCTGGAAGATGCATATCCTCAGCCACTCGGTATAGCTGCGCACCAGTGCGAGAACAAAGGATCAGATGACTAGTTATGCTTCAGGCTGATCCAGGCTGCTCTGTTCAAACAATGTGCATCACTTTGGATTGACAACACTCACAGTCCAATAAAGGAGAGCTCAGTGGTGGCACATTCATTAAGTGTTTTGTTGAATGTAATCTCCTTCATACTTTTTGGATTACCATATAAAACCACTCCCAGATATTATATCTGTATAGCATCTAGAGAGCTGTGCTTCTGTCTTGTCAAAATCCATTTGTTAGACATGGGGAGGGATATGCTACTAAAAAAAGGAACCTTTCTCGCCCCAATTCAGGAACCTGAGGTTCACCATGTTGGTTGGACTCTTGGAATACAATCACAGCCCTATATCGGTGTGAAAGACAAACTATATCTAGCAATCACATCCATGGGGAATTAGAATAATGGAATTTTATTCATCTCTATGGGGAGATGGGACAGCTTCCACATACCCTGTCTTGCTCCCTAGTATGAAAAGATAACGGCAAGTTTTGGGGTCAGCTAGCAGGGTCAGCTAGCATCTAGCATCCCTGGAGCAGACAGGAGTAAGGAGCTTTGTCCAAGGGCCATAGAGCAATATGATTATTCTGCCAACCACATATTTAATATTAAGACCTTCCGAATACTGGAACAGATTCCTAACCTGCTGATGTACAACCCACCCCCAGAAATCTAATCGGGAGAGCCTGAATGCAGTACCCCACCATCAGAAATTATTCACTTCAGATTCCTGTATTTGGGGAATTCACATATGTCAGCACAGTCATAGCACATTGGCTGAGCCTGGCTCTGGGAGAACCACCCGTTATGATCATGCCGTCACCTCTGCCAGGCAAGTAATAATAGCTATATGCTGAGTTGTTAGCTTCTTGGTAGATCAAAAGGTCAGAAAATCTGACCATACTTGAAATATATACACCAATCGGCCAGCCATGGAGAATACCCATTGAGAGTGATCTGAGGGAAAAACCATGAATTGCCGACAAGGTGTTGAGTGGCTAGGATTTGGTATATGAACGAAGGCTGTCCTGTTTGGTACAAAGTAACAGAAGGCCTTCTGTGGCAGAAATGCTGGATAATGTTGATCATGATCACAGGAATAATGTACCACGGCACAGTGCACAGAGTACTGCTGTGTATGCGGCTACGTAGCTGTGGATCAGTCTTGTCAGCCCATCAGCCCACAGATGCTCGGCACGTACCCAGCCGCCTACATGATGCAACAGGAAATGGGATTCATCAGACTAGGCGACCTTCTTTCATTGCTCCAAGCTCAATTTCCAACACTCGCATGCCCATTGTAAACATTTTTTATGGTAGGCGGAATAGGCATGGACACACTGACTGGCATGCAGCTAAATAGCCCCTTATACAGCAGGACTCGGTGCCCTGTGAGTTCTGACAAAGTATCCATCTGATCATCATCAAAATTATCTGCCATTTGTGCTACAGCACCTCTTCCGTCGGTTTGTACCAGACGCGACAGCCTTTATTCACATCCCGTGTCGACAAGGCCTGGCTGCCTAACGCCTCCTTGGCAGTATGTGCTTCTTCCCTCCTTGGACCACGGCTGACCATGAACAGCCCACAAGCCTTGCCATTTTGGAGATGCTTTGACCCAGTTGTCTGGCCATAATGATTTGGCCTCTTGTTAAAGTCACTTGGACATTAATCTCTGTCCATTCCTACTGCATTCACCACGTCAACTAGTTACTTAATGTTAGCTTACCGTAATATATCCCAGACCTTGACCTGCACCATTTTTACAAGACAGTCAACATTATTTGCTGAATTTAACACAAATTTTTAATACAATACTTAACCCAAGGACTGCCTGTATGCCATTTCACCAATACCCAGCTTCACAAAATTCTTCTGTTGTCATGTAGACATTTAGGTAACTTTCTTTTGATCTAACAAATGTCTCATTAGATAGCATTCACTGTTAAACTAGGATTATGAAAAACCTTAAAACAAGAAATGCTGTAGTTGTGTTCTGTGAAAATACATCACCAGTCTGCTTGATCAACTTTCAAGTTGCCTGGTGAATCTGTTGTGAAAGTGCAGCATATATAGCAGATAAGGAGAACGAGGTCAGCCAGCATCCCTGGAGCAGCTGGGATTAAAAGCGCCCTGCTCAAGTACCCAAGAGCGATGATACTATGCTAGTTCTGAGATTAGATCCCATGACCTCCTGGACAGTGGGTTAGCTGGCTGTGTGTGACATACACAGTTTTATACCTTACTCAACTAGATCATACACAATGAGATTTTAATCTTCTTACCACCAAAGATCAGACAGGGTTCATCCTACCAACAGTCTCCCAAACACACATCCAGGGTTATGAAGTTGGAGTCTCTGTCAGGAACCACAAAGTCGGGGACACCAGGCCATCACGTGGCGCACAAGACGGACACCATTTCACCTGTGTGTTTTTCGGATTGCAGGAGGAAACTGGAGTACTAGAAGAACTCCACACAACACTGCAAATGCAGAGAACAGGTCCAAACCCTAGAGAAGGCAACAGTGCTACTTACTGAGCTGTCATGCAGCCCTCAGATGAGGATAAACGTTACATAAATGCTCACAACCATTTAATCATCCAATAGTACACAGATTAAGCTGAATATGCTTAATTATACATACAAAAATCAGTACAGAAAAGGACCTCTGATCTCCATATCCGTCGTCACAGCTGTGAATAACCACAGAGGATGAGTTTCAACTCTGTACACCAAAGACTATATAAAACCAGCTGGGAGAATAAAGGCACCACATTTAGGAACAAATTTTATTCATATTTAAAACAGATAATGCTTTATTTTCCTTTGTACGCTAAGAAAATCATTTATGTCTGAATGATGTTCAGGCAACAGTGGTCAAAATGAAACGAATACAAAACAAATATGGCTAATATGCAGCAAATCAACAACCATCAGGACCCTGTTCCGCGGGGTTTTGTGCTGTCCGCTTCCCCGAACCCAAACCCAAACACATGCAATTCAAAGACAATTATTTAAAAACAGCAGTTTATCTTAGTAATCTTAAATACAGAATAAAGTTAGCAGTCATTTATTTATATCACATATTAAGAGTTTTTTTTTTTCCTTTTAAAAAATGGACCATAAAACACAAAGGCCCCTTTTTTTTTATTCTCACAACATTGGCACTTGTAAAGAGTCTGGCTTTACAAAGAAAGAATTGGCACACATTATAGTACATCATTTACATCCGGTATACTAAAAAATGGAAAAGCAAACACAAATACCAATTTATACATACCTATGCAGTTACTCTTTAAAAAAGAAAATAAACATTCAGTTAATTTTTTTATTATTTTTTTTTAAAAAAAAGGAGGGGGGGGGGCTGGGATTAATGTTAATGTCCACCGTCTCAGTTCAGACCTCAGCCTGAATGAGTAAAACCCAGTCAAGTAAGAACATCTCAGGACACCAGGAAGTGAGCTTCAAGCAGCAGCTGTGAACTCTCACAAATCCGTGCGGGCCCGTATTTCAAAGGGCTGTTCAGTGCACTGACTCAGCGGGGGTCAGAGGTCACCACGGGAAAATGCCAGGCAGTCCTATTAATGTGGCCATTTACAATCCCTAATATATAAAGACCTTCGCACACTGTGAGTGAATCATTTTAAATGAACTCAGGAGTCAACCGGTTTTAAGCACTTTAAGTGGTACCTTTTTAAAAATTTTAATAAGCATGTTTACATCTCCAAATATTTAGTAGTACAAATGGAGAACCAGTCTACACTATTTTTATTCATCTACTGGGATTTTAATTTTCATCTTAAACTTTCAGTGCTGTTTCGCTACTTACAGCCTTGCAAGTGGAACTATCCACATGTCTATTTCAATATATAAATTTGGCAAATTAATGCAACAAAACATTTTACAAAACTGTTACCCATCGACAGAGAAAGTCATGTGTCACTTATCCATGTGGTAAACAATCAGGAAACTGGGTTTCTCAGCATTTCTGACATCACCGCACTACTGTAAGATCACACAACTGAAATGGTAATACTTTTAGTGCTTTGAATCCAACTATAAAGACAACAAAAACCTTAAACAATAGTTTTTCTAATTTACAATACCATCCAGAATATACAGATTATTTACTTTGAGCAACTCAACACTGTCTGATCTCAGAACACTTAACCACAAGCAAGAATAAACAACAATTCAAAAATGAATTTGACTATATAAAAGAAAAAAAAACAAAAATACATATTTTCCCCTCACTGGATAAGCCAACAGAATAAAAAGGAGTCCAACGAGCTTGGAGCAACTTCTTACTGCTCGAAATGAGCAGAACACTAATTAAACGGGATGCAGTGTGCTTATCGAGGTATCCGTGGCCACTCACATGTAGAAATACATCGAGTTCCATCAACCTCAGAGTATTGTCTAGCTACAGATCAGAATAACCCATTATTTGCTGCCCAATTAAAGGAAATTGACAGCACAGCTTTAACAGCTCCTATACGCCTAATGAGCCCAGGTTGGAAGTTCTCGACTTGCAGTAAAGCTTCAATATATCGTCAAAGATCAACAGCGCAGGGTACTGCCCACAAAGTGAGGCGTGCCCTATAACGGGGGAATGGAGCAAGACCTGGAGCCCGGGAGACTCCGATAAAATGAAACCGGTCTGTGCTTCGCCATGGACTGAAGGCCTGGGCTCCTGTCCCTCTCGTTGGCCTACAGTGACACCTTCTGTCGACAGCTCACCGAGAGATCAGCAGCTTGAACGTAGTGACGAGAGCTCTTCTCCAAACATGCTGGGCCACTCAAAGTGAAGAGGAACAAGAAGTTGGCCAGTGATGTTCATCGAGCTAGCAGAGGGCAGAGTGCGCACTGATGAATACAGCATAAAGGAATATCTGTCCATTCCAGAGTTGTGGGGGGTGGCGGGGGGATTACAAAAAGCTTACAAACACAGCAGCAAGTTTAATAGCTTTGAAGCGGCGGATGAAAGAAAATGGTCTGTCGTTAATCAAGGCCCACTGAACACTGTGACAAAAGCGTGTGTGTAAAATACTGGTAGTATTTCAGTGACACACAGCAAATCATCATCTAAAAAGATGCTTTTAAAAGCTATGAGAGCCACTGGCTTGCTGCACCACCCACACTGAGCTGCTACAGCCCTATAAAAACTATGAATGTATGAAAACAACAGGTAAACATTTTTACCCCTGGGAAAAAAAAGGAATAATTGCGATTTATAATACACACTAACATGAAAGCTGCAGCAATTTTCGTAGATGCTGAGCACTGGAGGTTGAGGCTAAATGTGAAAACCGCATTTGATTTCCAGTGCGTCTCTCCCCATATAACAGCACAGCAAAGCACTACAAAAATACACGGGAAAGTGGGATTAACGGCACTAATAAAGAGAACTGGGCTGCATTAACAAAATCAGAGATTCTCCCAGGTAATTTGTTTATACAGATCATGAAAACGATACAAAAGGGGCTTAGGGGTCAATGATAAGCCTTATAGAACAGGCCCTTCAGTCCTTGTGAAGATGCTAAGTGTACAGGCATAGGAGGAGAACGCAGGTGAATTTAACATACAGCATCGGCCAAAGCGGCTACCAGTGCTCTCTGAACACAGCCATAGTGTCTTGGCACTGGTGCGAATGGAGCAAACAAAACATAAAAATAATTATGTACATTCAAAAAGTGCCACCAAATTTGTCTTCAGTTCCCGATAAAATCCCAAATCAGACTTTGGCAGTCAGTGACCAGAGAGGAGGGGCCTAAAGCTAGCCCAGCCCACGGTAAACGGTCAACACCCCCTGGCAGTTACCTTTGAGCAATATATAACAAAAGTGAAGCACACAGGCAATATGCTCCAGAAAGTAAAAGGGAGTAGGCCTCTCCAGTCATGCAGAGAGGCAGGAAGCATGATCCAGGACATTTTACACAGCATCTGAGCCCGGCTGCAGTACCATAGCAGTGTCACACCACTTTCAGTGGAAAAGCAAGCGTGTCAATTTTGTTCTGCCCTGCTCACCATAAGCTCATCTTCAGAGCAAGCAGATGAGGGTAACAAAGACGAACCTAACCTATTCCCTACATTCCGGACCTGTAAGCGATGATTAATGTAGTGCAGCCATTAATGTAGTCCAATAAAAGTGCATTAAAATTGCACCCGTTTCTCAGTCACCCAGGGTCTTGTCTTTAAAACCTCTGGCTGTTTAAATTGTATGCAATATAATAGCCCTTTTAATGAAGATGTCTGAAAATTCACCTGAATTACACTGCAAAGACAACTGCATTGAAGGAAACGACTAGCTATGGAATCTTGGAAATACTTTTTCTTCAAAAAGGGAACCAGGAGAAGGTATCATTATGAAATCCTCTTAAATGCTTGCTTAAAGCTTTGCTTCTACATTAAAATTTTAATTGTACTCAGACCGAAAGTGACTTAAATATTTGACTGATACGAATAAACGATAAATATTTTTGCGTATAGAGACTGAGGAAAATCCGATTACTGCACCCATAAGGATTCATACAGCAGTTCAGACAGCGCCCCCTACTTTTACTGAGGAGGTACCAGTTCAAGATAGGAAAGATTCTCAACACCCACAAAGCTGGCCTTATATAAATAAACTAATAATAAAGATTCTGTTCACAACTGAACATCTGTTTGATATGGATAAGCTAAGCACGTTAGTCGGCATTAACAACATTATGCTATGTTCAGCTCAGCGTTTACTCTTCAAACTATTGCTTGCAACTGTTCTGTCATCTAAATACAAATACAGCATGTCATATTTCGATAACTTAAAAATAGTCACAGTATCATGTAATGTCATTCACAAGAGTTAAGTGCAACTTAAGAATAAAGAGGGGCTTTTTGTCCCATGCCATTTTGTTTTGCAGTTCTCTTCGTACTTAGTTGCCTCACTCACACAGGTTGACGTTACATTTCTGTCCCTCACACCAAGACCAAATATTTCGAGCTCCTGTGTTGCCTGGTTTTTCTGTAGAGATTAATGGGCGTGAACAGGCTGCCGTCATCTGTTATTCAGTCAGCACTAGATGGGACCATTTAGAACTATGCAAAATGCTGAAACACGCAAATACCCCGATCCGAAAATAGGGGGGAAAAAAGAATAGGAACATGGGGGTGGGGGGGGGGGGGGAAAGGTGTGAAAAAGACAGAAAAAAATAAATAAAAACGGCAAAAACTGACCATCCTTCAGCGCGTCATTAACCACATGTTTACACACTGGTTCTCTGAATGACTGGGAATTTTATAACAATTTCAGTTGCAATAGCAAGATTTTACATGTTCAAAATATTCGACACATTGTTTCTCTCCTGCTCTCAGATTTACGTTCTCCTGTAGATGTGAAAATCATGCATGTAGTTACATTTACCAATGTAAAAATAAGCTCAAGCTTGAATCAGTGAACATGGCGTATCCTTGAGACACCACACTTGGTGTCACTGACTATTACAGCCCTGTTCATACAGGTTTCCCACAATCCTTTGGGTCCAAGAGCCCAAACCCTCCTGCAGAGCACGCCTTCCAGGTGTTCTGTCACTCTCTCCCGATTTATGCCTCAAATCCCAAGTAGCTCACTTATATAGCACACAAACCGCCGCTATGGTGACCCTTTCTATAGGACAACGTTGAACCAACGTGATTAGCGAAAACGAAACAAACTCAACGTAAAAGCTAGTGTAAGGGCGCTGTGCAAGTAAGTCAGAGCTGTAGACATGGAGGGAATGAGGAGCCCCCAGAAATGCCACCAATGGGCGGAGCCAGTGTGTCAAAGGGCAAAAACAGCAGACCGTGGGTCCCTGGGAGGCTGTGATGAAACACAGACAAGAGTCACAAACAGAATCAGGAAGCGGGGAGGTCTGGGTGGCGTGTGGATGAAGCTCAGTGACACTCGCATATGTATATAAGTGTGTGTGTGTGTGTTTCGCCTCAGATGTGCGTTGTCCGCGCTCTGCCTTGACGACGGCCTCTCGCTGGCATTCACACCAGGTTATATTCTTTGAGGTTGAGCTGCAGGATGGTGTCCTTGACAGCGGCGAACACGAAGCGGATGTTCTCCGTGTCGGTGGCGCAGGTGAAGTGGGAGTAGATGATCTTGTCGCTGTCTGGGTTCAGGTCCACAAACATCTTCAGGATGAACTCCCGAGCTGCCTGTGCGTCTCTCTGGGGACCTGGGCGGACATGCACAGCATTACCACCTTCGTCATTAGACGGAAAACAAACCAAATGAAAATTAATCCTTTAATCCTCCACCCACTCCCAATAATTTCTGCCTGTTCTTGGGGGGGGGGGTACATGAAATAAAACAATAGTATCCAAATCAGACGTGTCATGCATGGATCAACACTTGCATTACAGAGTTCTTTCATGGTCCTGCAAGCTGTGACTACTGCTCAATGTTTTGAAGTTTCAATTTTCACACAGCAGCAGGGGGAGGACTGAAATGAAAAATTTAAATTCTCAATTTTTCCATAGTTTTTGTATTTAATTACATTGCTTCTCCAACTTGCTAATCTTCTCTAATGGAAATTTCAGTGCCTGAAAAAGGCTGCTAAAGGATCGCTTGCGTTTAGGCCTAACTGGCAAAAATGTGTGAGTCTGGGTCTGGGTGCACAGATATTCATGGCGAAACTATAAGCAGAAGTTTGCAAATTCTGAAGGTGTTCATTTCCTTGATTTTATAAAACCCATTGGATATAGAAACTCTAGCATTGATTTCACTCACACACACAAAAGAATTTTCTTACACCAATACACAATAGAATATTCCTAGTCTGAATAAGCTTTTACGAGTCAGCATTCTCATATTCCACCTTCTAAGGGCTGTTTCACCTCAGTGCTGTAACAAGCAAGTGGTAATGAGTGTTCAACACCACAAAGAAGTGTTTGCAGGGTTGTATCAAAGAATTGATTTGACCTCACACCCTCCACCATCTTCTGTTATGCCTATGGATAGGAAGTGATTAACACATTGAAACAAGCTTCCTTGTAGCAGGTTCCTTGGACTGTTTTGAGCCAATCAAGTCACTCCTAGACCTCTGACAAAGTACCCACTTCCCTGACTGGTGGCATCATTATCCTGAGAGGTTTCACTTGGTAACCAGTTACCTATGGCTTCCACTCAACTGTTAATACAGCCAAAACAAAACAAACAAAATGAAAACAAAGCCCTGAGAGATTAACAGTCATAAAGCACTGTGGAAGTGTCTTCTGATCTGAAGTTCTACTAGCTCAGCACTGCAGATCACGGCAGCCCTGGTTCCTGTCCCTTCTTTGTAGCTATTCAACTCAGTATCTGCTTTGGTCTGTCCTCCTCCTCACAGCCTCTACACTTCTACATGACAGTGGCATCGTACACTTCTAGAGCCACTCAGAACTCATCATCCAGACCTGGATCTGTCAGGTAACTCTCTGGGTGCCGTCCTCTTACGACTGTTAAAAAAAAAACATTACTTGGTTTCCATTAGAGGGCAGCCTGTTCCCCTAGAGTAGGAATTCCAAACCTTTTGATGACCAGCAATGTTGTGCAAAAAATTCAGAGGATCACACACGATCAAAAGGAAATATCATCAACATTGTCAACAGCATGCATATTTGCATCATTCATTGTGATGTGTCACAGTTAGCAATCATTTAAGTTTCCACAATAGAAACAGTAACGAAAAGCCAATTCAATATGATCGCTGGGCCTGTTTCCGCAATATAGGCTGGTCATAGCGAGGGGTAATGGGAGACAGGGAGAAACAATGTGTCTCTCTTACATCAAACCTGTTCCTGAACCGTCAGAGCTGAAAATCCAGCCTCACACCAAAAGGTGCATGTACAAGGCCGCAAATGCCTTCGTGGCTAATGCACACATCCCCTTTCACTTCGATCCAAAATGATGAAGCAGAACGTTTGAGCTCCAGTTTCTTCACATGCAAATCCGAACGTGTAAACGTCAGGGGTAAAAAAAAAAAAGAAAAGAAAAAAAGGTGTGATTTGAAAATAAATAGTACTCACAAAGTCTTGGGATGCTTGATAATTCAGTAACAGTGTGGCAAATTTATTGGTTTCATAATCAAAGTCCACTGACGAGCGCAACGCGTAACATATCGGCATACATCATACACAAACATTTTATCATCATTTTTGACTGACCATTCAGTTCCGTTCTTGCCATTTTGCTATAAACTGTAGTCATTAGCTCCCAAATGGATACTAAATACGAATGTTTGATGTTTAATGAACAACTCTTTTAGAACGCTGTATTACTCTCTAATGATGTTTAATGTATTGCCTTGGGACGACACTGTTGTGAAAGGCGCTATATAAAAATTAATTGGATTGAAACTATAATTTGGGTTTCCAATTTATTAGTACTTGAAATTAATGTTTTACTTAAAACTTAAAAACATTTACTGAATCAAGTAAACATCCCAAGACTTTGCAATCACTATAGTATCTCTTTTAATTATAACCCCCGCAAACCCCCAGCATTCCACGGCATCAGTCATACAAGACAGAGAAGCTCTTCTAATCAACCTTGCACCATGTTCACTAATGGTCTGAGCCTCATGCCGCTTCGTTTTTCTGGTATTTGCTTGTTTTATCTTCGCCATTCTGTGAGCTGATTCATTTCTCTGCCACATGGTGTCTCCAGACATCCACAAAGCAAAAAATAGAACCGGCACAATCCTTAAGGTCTCAAACACCATTCCGCTTAATCACTTATAATCTCAGCCATCAGGGTTTGGCACTCAGAGAATTTGTGCATAATATCCTCAGCCTGTCAGGCTTCAAATAAAACCCACTGTCAAACTCCCCACTTTGTTGGGCCAGCACAAGTTCTTCACGACACAATTAGCACAGATTGAGTAACACCGTGCACAGCATTTAAAGGACTTTGGGTGTGAGCCTTAAAATGTCAAAGCGGTATTTCATAATTATTCACCCATTCATTTGTGAGACAATACCAGATTTCTCCAGTCAATAGGTATGGAAAGGAATGGTGTATGTGGAATACATTTTGAATATCATCTAGTACAATTCAATGTGATTTGCAATAGGCATACAGAACTGGATGATCTTATTGTGGACTATTTGGAGAAAAAGGATTAGTGACACTGACATGCAAACACGGCGGAGATGGGCAGGGATTTACACCAGAGTAGAGGGGATTCCAGGGAATCAGATGATGCAGATAATGGATAAACAAGAACTCACCATCAAACTCTGGAAAGTAGTCCACCAAGTGAGAGTACATAATCTTCTCCTCCAGCAGGTCCTTCTTGTTCAGGAACAAGATGACTGAGGAGTTTTGAAACCAAGGATATGTGATTATTGTCCTAAATAGTGCTTTACTTTCTTCCATCCGATTCTAAAAAGAAAAGAAACAGGAAGAGTCATGAATCAAGCGGGAAAGATGATTCTGTAACAACGTCAATTTGTTCCGATCCCAAACGAGAGAGTCCAGTAGTGGCACCATGCTAGATCTACAACATGTCACACAATCATTTCACTCAACAAAAAATACAAACAAAATCAGAGCCCAATACACCCGTTTCAAAGTAATTATCAAACAGGCACTGAAGTGAACAGCTAAGCAAATCAGGGGGGAGCTGGAACACGGTCAGCGAACAGCATCATTAAGGGACAGGTTTGCCCGCACGTTCTCTCCAAGATGTCGGACGGGTAGGAGCCACACACCTCGTTGTCGGACTCCACGAGGACCTGGTCGTACTCGCTCAGGGCCACCAGGAACATGATGGAGGTCACGTTCTCAAAGCAGTGGATCCACTTGCGGCGCTCAGATCGCTGCCCACCCACATCGACCATCCTGAGATGGGGGGGGGCATCAGGAGGCAAGTTAACACAGCAGCAAATAGGTAATGCATGTTTCCTGGCAACTGTTTGGGGGGGGGGGAACCCACCAATGCAAGATTAGTGGGCAAATTTTCTGAAAACATTTTTATAGTTAAACATTGCAAATTAACCAACTACAAAGAAAGATAACTGATGGATTACAGAACACAATGTGGGCGTGTCTAATTTGTTAAGCAGCACACAGTTACTATTACTTTTGTTGTAATTATTATAGCAACACTACCAATAATAACATTTATTTATTTTGTATTGAGGCATTGAATTTTTTAAAAGCATTTGACCTTAAGTATGTTGTTGCTTTTATTAGGCACAATATTCGGTGTACAAGGGTATAAAACAATTTTTTAGGCTTTTCAAACTGCCTGGTGTTCCAGTCATTAGTTCTCTGTAATAATACTAACTTTATTCACTTGAGCAAATACTGAAACCAGAGTCTGACTAAACACACAGACTGGGTGTAGATGGTAATGGCTGAGAACAACAGGCCAAATGTCAGAAAGGGCCGAACTGTATTTACATCCCTCTGGATCCCTGCCAGGCGACCTTGACATGAAGCTGCACCTTGGGCACCACTGTGTACATCAACCCGCTTACGATTCTCCCGAAATGATGATGTGAAAATCCACTGTGAGCGTGATTGTGCTGGTCTACATGACTATGCTGGTCACATTCCATGCTATTAGCATGCTGCATATTTTGAGTGTCTGCAGGAACAAATTAAACCTTAAAATCAACGTCAGATTTGTGTTGTGCGCAAATTCTCAGGTTCACTGCTATACTTAATTCAGCAGTTATTCATTTAGCGAAAGACTGTCAGGGTTGGGTTAATTTAGCAAGACAGGCGATACTGTTCAGGTTTTGCTAAACAGAAGTAACGCAAAACACTTCGTGTTAATGACTACGATTCAACTACGGTCACACCTTCAGGACCAAACAAGACAAACCCATATGCAAGAGTGTCAACATTGTCTCCCTTAGGGGGATCGACTGACGTTAAACTTGGCAGACAATGGCACAGCAGTCTTTGTTGACACCAAACCATGGTGGACTACAGGTCATGCAAGCAAGATCACTGAACGTCGATGTTTGCACTTCGACCCTATGAAAACAGACAGGAATCCGCATTCACAGCAATGTCTCCTTCCTCCACTAGGGGCATGTTCTCCTCTCTTTTTGGCGAGATTCCTTTTAGACATTTTAAGGACGGTCAATATGCCTGTATGTGATTTTCAGAAGCGTTCAGTGATCTGGGGGATTTGTACGTGAAATAAAGCCCCAGGATGGTCAGAAGCAGAGGACATCCAAGATTATGCTCAAATAAATAACTGACTAAAAAGGGCTGGTCGCTCTTCATGTGTAAATGGTCGTGGGGTCATTAATTATCAGCGTAAGAAGCACCTCAGGCTTAACCTATTAAAAGTGCAGCGCCGGTACCAGCCGGAACCATCTGAGTGGACTATGTCTGGCTTTGTCTGAAGCTGTCACACCAGGGCCTCGGGACTCCATGCTCTGGAACATTACAGATCTCATACACCAAGGCAATAGGAAAGCTTCTCTAAAGACGGATGGACTGGAATTGTAACAGAGTTCTGTCCCTTGAGTTCCACTGATATGGGTCATGTGACTTAATTCTGTTCCTACTCACCTATTCAGGTATGACAATATCGCACTGGTTAACTATTCAAATACGGCCTACGGTGCCGCAAAAGGCAACACAGTCATTGATATCACAGATCCCAGCCAGCCTTTCGTACAATGAAACGGGACCGTAAAATTTATAAATATAAATCAAATATTCTACAGCCTAGTGAGAAACCAGGGTGTAATACTTCATGGTCAACTTCTGCTCACAGATTTTCTATGATAAGGGCCTAACCTTCAAAACCCGGTGGCCTACTTCCGCAGATAAGTGTTCCTCGTCTTACACCAGGAATAAAGCAAATCTAGGCAAGACAAACATCCTGCTAACAGGATCTAAAGAGGCAGAATTAAGGCACTTAGGAGGCACACAGCGCTTTGACTCGGGCCCCCGCTGGGGCCAGCCGGCTTCACCCGACAGGGAAGGCTTTGCTCACTCGTGTAAACTGAAAGCATGGTCACGGCTTCCACCAATAGCAACGATGCACCGGAAGCCACATCTAGACAACAAGCCAGGTGGAGCCCAGCCGGACCCACAGGTAATCGGGGCGGCTGTGGCGGCATGCGGCGTGCAAACTGTGGGACGCGCAAGAGGGGCCCCCCTTTCGTGATTCTGCGATTCCAGCCTGCAATGGCAGTCGAGCTCGGTAATAGATGGGCCCCACAGGAGCAACCCGCCCAAAATAAAGCTCCTTCAACACGGGGTCGACCTCATTTCCTGTTGCAGTATAGAGTGACCTACTTTTGACGATGTAGGACGGGCCGGAATGGCTGCATACTTAATTCGAAAATTCAGTAAGGATGGTGGCAATTAAAAGCTCGAGGGACAGCCGGGCTCACTTGCGGTCCCCTTGGGCCGAGGACAGTGCAGATAGGGACGGGCACATCACTGATTAGCACCTTCGGCTGATGTGTCACCCCCACGCTGGACAGCGGAGGGAACGGGAACCCTGAGAAATGCTCTAACCGCGCTTCACCGCGAGTGTCCTCGGAATGAGGGCACCGACACGACTATCAAGGAGCCTAGAAATGAAGGCTTGCTGCTGTCTCCTTGATTGAAGGTCCCTCCCCAGACCACACACACATGCAGGAAAAAGACCTCCAGCTTCAGGCGACCCAAGGTCACATACTGGGAGAGGGTTTTTTTGTTTTAGGATCACATGGGGAGACCCACAAAACAAGACACTGAAACCAGTAAAAGCACAAGCCTTTGGAATCACTAACTCATAAGTGATCAAAAAATTATAACATTTAAACAACATTATCAAAATAGTGCCCCCCCCCCCCCAAAATTTCAAACATTCATTTGAACAACCAATACCAGATAGTTAACACAACATATGTGAACATTTGAAAATAGATTAGCAGCAGATCCAGTCAGACCTGCATTCTCTACCTGAATATGATGCTTTGCAAGTCGAATGGATATTCGATGATCCCCGTAGTCGGGATGCGAACCCTGAGCACGTCTTGCTGGGTCGGGAGATACGAGGGGTCGGCAATACGATCCAGGTCAGTGAGATAGCTGCAGACAGGGAGAAATACGGCGACAGCAGCCATGAAGGAGACAGCAGGGAGCAGACCAGCACACACTGAGGCTGAAGGCCTTTCCCACCCACGAAGACACGGATAATACGCATGATATCCCACTTGTATAAGAAGCGAAAGAAGCAGGATACCTTTTAAACATTGCCATAGCAACAGAATACGACAGTACACGTACAGATTAATCAGTAAATCAACTGGACCGTAGACATTTTTAATTTTTATTTTTTTAAATGGTTCATGTAACGCTTACCATTGAAACATAAAATAAGAGGTACGATTAAAAAAGGTTTTACTCTAACTACAAGGTATGGTTACAAAACATCTAAGCATTTTAACTTTTGAGAGCGGTTACTGTACAAAGTTTAAAAATTCATAATTAATGACCCATACCTATGGCAAAAATTATTATTTTGGAGAGACCATTATTACACAGATATTCAAACTGGAATAAGCAGACAATGAACATTCAATTGAATGCGAACTTTGTTCTGTAATAGATTAACAGTACTTTGTCATTTTAATTCAAACAATGACATTAAGTATTTTCATGGTCTTGCGGTAATGGTTATACTGGACACCATCAGAGGAGACACACACAACTTTATGACAGTGTGGATGCAGCTTTCTGTAGAGTGCAGAACGCCCATCTCTGCATAAGACCAGGGCTGGTGTGACGGCAGTATCACTCTACAGCAACACCCCAGGAGTACATTCTACAGTAATACCCCAGGAGTACATTCTACAGCAACACCCCAGGAGTACATTCTACAGTAATACCCCAGTACAACATTCTACAGTAATTCCCCAGTACAACATTCTACAGTAACACCCCAGGAGTACATTCTACAGCAACACCCCAGGAGTACATTCTATAGTAATACCCCAGTACAACATTCTACAGTAATACCCCAGGAGTAAATTCTACTGGGCAAAGAGATGCTCCAACTTGTTACTCCGAAACACAGCCACTAGAAGCTACGTGCTCTTTTGCACTGTGGAACATAGGATGGAAGTGTGAGTGTGTATGTGTGAGTGAGAGAGTGAACACTGACCTCTGTACACAGACACTGCTGTACATGCATCAGTAACTGTACAGTGACGTGTTGTACAATAAGCAACAATAAAGAAATCTCAAGACAGCGAGTGTAACACGCACTTCGATTGGACCTAGCTGAACAGGCAGCCGATAATATTCTGCAAACCAATCATGGTAAACTACAGTTTCTATATAGTACAGTGCAACAAAAACTCTCCTAAATAAACCATGATGTGACAAAACACACATCTAACAATAGGGTGGGCATCTGGTTACCAATTCAACAAGCTAATTAAGACCATTCTGAGCTGCAGACATAAATTATTCCGTTTAGTCATACAAACTACATGAATTTTATATGAATTCCTGTCACTACAAAGAACATGCCTACATAACAGGTACTTCACGTAGGTACGACTGACTGAACACCCTTCACTTAAGAGGTTTGTTTCAACACTGCTGTCCTTTATACACTTACTACAACTGGGCAGACAGATAAGCAAAAAAATGGTTTATAGAAATAATTTACTTTGAATCATTGCTTAATTCAAAGGGCCAGATTAAAAGAACGAACATAAAATCTGAAAAACATAAAGTTAACCAAATACCACAAAGGAACCATGCAGAGGTGAGAAATTCACGTCCAAAGAGTAAAAGTCCAGACTAAGATTTAATTTCAAGCAACCAGTTGAGTATATAGTCAGACACAAAGTACTCAACTGGTTGGTTAAAACAAAATCTTGGTCTGGATTTTTACTTTCTGGACCTGAACTACCCACTTCTGGAACCGTGGTAGGACTTAACACCTTGGTATGGGCCATCAAGATGTAACAATACAGCACTGCAGGTTATACACAGATTAACACAGGCTCATAAATACTAGAACCTATTTACCCAGTAAAATATGTGCAGGGAAATGGCTACATTTTAGCACAACAAAATATATGTAACGGAAATACATCTAAATAAACAGCCAAACATTTCACACAAAAAAATAGGGGGTAAAAATTCTAAGACAAGATGTCTGATCTGATCTGAGCTGAGCTGCATGGGATTCAGCTTCACAATTTCCGCACAGAACTGAGCTTATGGCGCTTTTCCACTGCCACAAAGAACAGAGCCATACTTGAGCCGGACCGTGAACCGGCGGTTTTCCATTGTAAATATACAAGCCGTACTTGGAGCTGTATTGGAGCTTTAACCACGCTAACCTGGTCCTGCTTACTGGCAGAGCCAAAAGCGTGACCAAACAAAGCGGCTTGTGTCACCACCCTCTGACTGGTTGAAATACACGGAGATACCAGTGTCCTGCACATGGATGATTTGAAGGAAAGAAGGGTATATATATTCTATATATTATTAATTATTAGTAATATCGCACGTCGCAATGTACCAGTGCATTCCCGATAACTCTAAACTTGAAAATGCACAACCTCCTTCTTAAAAAAATACTATACAGCAGTTGAATGGAACAGACTCATAATGCAGATTTAAGCTAGCAAATGTTTATTCTGCTAGTGTTTGATGGTCACCTAATACTTCTTACAGATGTGCTAGAAAATTAGGAAATTAGCACATAGTAAATCACAATGTACACCATGTGAACAGTAAAGCGTCTTCGGTTTTATGTCACTGTCGCTCTCCAAACCTGGCATACCATTACAAAGCCGACCCTTCTGCAGTGGAAAACCGAAGTGAGGTGGAACCGCACTGGAACTAGCCTCTGTTTGCAGTATGGGTCGAGTAGGGCTTGGTTCCTGTATGCCAGTGGAAGAACGCCACTAGTCAGGATAAGAGTGATTCTGACATAGCAGAATACTGTTGGGATGTCATGAAAATAGGGGGATCACACAGAGTGACAGAGGTCACACAGTGTTTTCTGGGAGAGAGGAGAGGGCAAAATCTGTCCTGCTTTTTACAAGACACAGTAAACCCAGGAGGGCCAAGCTAAAATTGTGCAGTGAGCAGCACGACCCGGATCACAATTCCATTACAAGCAACATATGCATGCATACAAAGGACATGCAAAATTTGCAATTAAAGACCTTCATGTCATGTACTTTTTTGGTTGACTTCAAACAAGAAAGCATTTTTCGATGCTCACTGGTCCATTTTATCACTGTTCAATCACACAGCCTGGCTATTCATCATTTATCATGTCAGTGGCCTGAGTCTGGGAGGACTCTCCCCTTGTAGGGCTGGGCGATGTGGCGAAATATTTTTAATTGCAATATGAAAAAAAATTCAGCCGATGTTGGTAATTCTCATAATATAGTTCAAGCGATTCTCTCTATACTTCAAGGCTCCTTCTTTGCTTTAAATCCCCTAGGAACTGCAGATTCAGACCATGAAAAAAGGCAACAAATTGCATGAACTGAATCTAATTTTAGTAAATAAATCATACAACTTTGTCATAGGGTGTAACACCAATAGTACAGTTTGTTGCTAGCTTCTCGGACTGCCTTGCTGCTCGCTCCCGGGAACAGGTTTGACACAGACAGTAGAATTGTCACCTGTCCCGTACTGAAAAATAAAACAATGCATCTAATTAACTATTCCTAGCCAGTACAGGATGCAGATTTTCCTATGCCAATTTATGCTTCAGATTGAAAGTGGAAACTGCTGCTGTTTGAGACTGTAAGCACTTGCATTCTGTGTGCTCTATGGGATGGCAAGAATGGAGAAATAAGTCTGCCAAGGTGCCCACTGTAGATGGCACAAGTTTCTGGCAGATTTACAGTACACAGTACCAGTCTGACGCGAATTTCAAACTGCAAACAAGTACAGCTGCGCCATCAGTATCTGGAACTTGCTTATTCACGGTAAAGAGCACCAGCCAAAGCAGCAAAGAAAATACATTAGAAACATCAACAGGTGATTATAACGTCTAATGGGCAACGGCACGGTCCGATAAAATGTGTGAGTCCTGAAAATACTTCCATTTACTTATTTTATTCATTTACCTTACACTTTTATCCGAAGTGAATTACAGCAGAGGGAAGGGGTACAATTTGTGTGCACTCCCTGGGATTTCTACTTCTGTTTCTAAAAGATTTCTCCTTTCACGCCCCAAATGCACACACATTTGGCCATCCTTGTGCTCTTTTAAGGTCGTATTGTATAAATGTGGGTAGCAGTGGATCTCCTCACGTAACTTTTAGTTGCAAAGCCTCCATGGTCTCTGCTGATCCATGCGGACACGGAAACATGGAGGCATGTGTTTGTGTCATGGTCGACCGCGCACTCGACCGCTGCAGACCCTTTCGGTCACGCAAAGTATAAACAAGCCATAAATGTTAAATACATGCGATGCACAAAAAAAAATCCTGATTACTTAAATAATAATAATTAGAATGCATAACATTTACCCATTAACTTTTGAAATTTTGAAAGTACACAGTCAATGCTGGACTTAAAGTACATCAACGTTCTGCTGCTGTGCTACAATTGAAAGTTGAGTCTTCTGTTCCAAGCCTTAATTTAGTAAAATGTACAGCATTAGAGCCGCAGTATTACAGCTAACCAGAGACGCACCACACAAGTACAGGACTTGTGTCACAGTCCACAGTCTCCATGGGAAGAGGCTAAACGTGTCACTGGCAGCTTCCTGAAGTGGTACCCAGTCTGCAGATACCTCTACCTCCGCCTCCCACCCACTCTCCCCATTCCCATCTCACTGCGGCTCCCAGTCTGAACTTACTATTTGGTGGAATCGGAAAGCTGGTATTCCCGCCGCCGGTCATAGGCCTCCTGGATGCCCGGGTCTGCCCAGAGCGTCCTTATTGCGCTGACATACTGCATCTCAAAGGACGACACCTTCTCCACATCCACATCTTTCACAAGCAAAGCATTTGACTGAAAAACAAAAAAGGATGAAGGGATTCTTCAACTTCTGCTCCACGTTGAGTTTGTAAAAGAAAATGAATCTGAACTTTTAGACACAAGTATCGTGATTATCACACTAAACACTTTTCTATACATAGATCATAAACATTACGCGTAAATCATTCCAAAGAGAAAATCAATATGATGCTTCAAAACGCCGGCCATCTTGCCAGGCAACATTTGATGGCAGAGAGATGTGAAATGCAAGACGCTGTCTGTTCCAACAGCAATCAAGGGACCATATATAGATGGCTTAAATCCAGAATGTGCTGTCTTCCATTTTAACACATTAGCAACCATAACCTACAGCTAACACCTACAGGTGTTGGTCTGGATGAGTCGAGCCAGCACTCGGGCTCGGATCGGCTACCTTGCGCTAAAAAGTACAGCTGTGGCTCTGGGCGACGGGTGAACGGTGCCCACAGACACACTCCCACGCTCACCTTGTTCTGCTCATACTTGTACTGCATCTTGAGGTTCTCCAAGGCACGGATCATGGACTGCATGGAGGTGAAGATGTTCTGGTACACCAGCTTGATGAAGCCCCGTTTGTCCTCCTCAGTGTAGCCGGCCCCATGGATGATGCGCATCTGCTTGATGAAGGTACTCTTGCCACTCTCTCCGGTGCCTGAGTGGAGATGAAGCACAGCTTGGGACCGCAGCAGACAAACATCAGGCCAGGCTACACAGCAACGGCTCTCAGACTCCTCACACCTTCAGTGCTATATGGAAATATCAGGTTTGGACAAAGCCAGCACATACTGGCGTAATAACATCCCAAAGTACAGGGGCTCAAAAGTGGAGCTTTTACAGAGCATCTGAGATGTAACTGGCAGGTACTGAAGTGAAAACACCTGAGTGTAACATTTATATAGCACTTTTCAAGACACCCAAAGCGGTTTAGAGCACTGATGGGCAGCCACTTCAAACACCAGTGTGAACCACCCACCTGGACGATGCAACAGCAGCCATTCTGCACCAGTACACTCACCATGCAGTAGCTAAGGTGGTGAAGGGGCAGGAGAGAATTTAGCAGTTAAAAATAGGGGATGATTAGGAGGCCAGGTTTGAAAGGGCCACAGTGGACAGTTTTAGCCACAGGTCATCGGGGTACCATCCCTACTCTTTTGAAAGATGCACAGGGATCTTTTATGACCTCAGAGAGTCAGGACCTGAGTTTCACGTCTCATCCGAAGGACAGCGCCATATTTACCACACTGGGACACTGGGATCCACACAGACAACAGAATGTGCTCCTCCTGTTGGCCACAACACCACCTCTTCCAGCAGCAACCCAGCTTTCCTAGTTGGTCTCCTATCAAAGTCCTGGTCAGGCCCGAACCTGCAGGTGCTATGGCTGCTGTCAGGGACTAGCAGGTTCTCACGTATTACTAGACCTCCCCACCAGAGCGTGAGCGAGGAGCGGAGCGTGAGCGAGGAGCGGAGCGTGAGCGAGGAGCGGAGCGTGAGCGAGGAGCGGAGCGGGCGGAATTTGGTCAGAGCGCAGAGCGGTTTTTTAATTAAGGCTGGAGCGGTCGCTCTGTCTCACTCCAATTTCGCTCCGATACCGTTCACACTACGATTCTGAGGCGTGTCCAAATCTACCCAAAATTCATCTGTACAATTATCAAGACTGTTACACAAATTGGCTGAGATGGAATTCGCAAAGTATTTCACAAAGAAAACTGATAAATCATACAAGTGCACTATTCTTATCAAACGTATAGATGACAATAAAGCAGGGCAAGAACAATGTGGTGAAACTTTCAGTGAGTAAAGATTCACTTTGGAATCACTTTTCAAACATGAGTGTGTGCTACACAAACAGGTGGAAGCCAGAGCAAAACGTGAGCAAGTTTAATATGGTTGTAGTCTATAAAGTAAATTTAAGTATAAAAGCCTATAAAGTAAATATCGGTAATCAAATAAATTCGTTTTGTCATTCAAAGTAGGTCTAATAGGATTTTTTAAATTTCACGTAACGCTGTCAGTGAAATTTTATTTTATAGAGAGACGCAGCTGCATCAACAGAAAAAAACTAAGGAATTTAAAACGTGAATGCTTAGCCTGTATATTCTTTAGGCTATTAAGCCCACTGATTCCTTTATTTTTAAGCCTATTTTTGTGTGGAATGCCATTGCCAAACCTGTCCGTTGTTGCCTATATGTTGCTTAAAAATAAATATTTTCTGTTCTGAGTGGCAATGTTGCCGTTGCTCATATTTCTTTATGATATAAGGCTTCGGTTTTAGGTGACATTTGTTAGGCATGCAGATTATTTGTTCCTCTTTTAAATTAGAGCGAGCGTGAAGCGATATGACTGGAGCGGGAGGAAATTTTAGTGGAGCGAGGATCGGTGTTGAGTGGAGCGGCTTAGTGCGAATTAGAGCGGAGGAGCGGGAGGAGCCAACAGCCTCGTGAGCGAGGAGCGGAAATTCTCACCACTCCGCTCACATGCTCTGCTCCCCACTGCAAAAGGCATCGCTGCATTTTAACAATTCATCGTTAAGGTTCCACAGCCATACCTAAAAAGTGAAGATGGGGAAAAATGGCTGAATAAATTATATAAAATAATAGCAGATACTTCAGTTTAGATCAAGTGGGGTTGTTCCACGTAAAAGAGCAGCCAAGGACTAATAAAATACTAAGAGGATTAACCCTATGGGAGTATTCCATCTCCGAGAAACACAAACGCCGGCTGTAAGTTACAGGCTAAGCACATACCCCTTTAACCAGCAGGCTTTCTGTTTGCATGGATGATGAATGGGGAGGAGACAGTGCTGGGGCAGGAGCAATGCACACTGCCGGACCCATAGGTGTGGAAACAGTGAGAGGATGGGTGCTTATCGCTGAAGGTCTACAGTCACTACTTTCGCTTTGGTGGGAGGGAGACCACACGAGCAACTGCTTGGGTGATCAGAAATTAGGCCTAAGTCACGAAACACTCCGGAGACTCCGCTGCTCCATGTCGATGATCAATGTAAGGGGGGCAGACGAAAGCACGGCAGTGCAGGGGGTTCGGAATTCAGGGCGAATGGGACCCATCATTGTCAAACTGAGGTCACTGAGGCAATCCTACCAGTGAGTTTATAAAGAGAACAGCAGCAGCAAACTAAACCCAATATGACCCAATATGAGCTGCTAATTAGCTACAGCTTCACAACATTAATACAGCTTAGATAACCGCCAGTCTTCATGGAGTCTATATCATAAGCTCAAACAAGCCATAACCAGGGCCCACCCACAAACTCTCATGTGTCCAAACTATTTCCCCCAGCTTGCATCTAACAGACTCCCAGAACAGGACTCCTCAGACCATAAAATTTTGTTTCCTTCATTAACATCTGTCAAGGCCAATGGATCAAATATTTATAGGAAACTGATGCCTAAATTATTGACATTATACATGATCCAAACTCGCGTATAAGACATACAAATTGTTGCTCAGCGGTTGTGGTCAATTAAGCAGGCGCTCAATTATGCATGCAGGTGCTTAAAACATTTATTGTGTCTTGTCCTCCTCTGTGAATTTGTAAGAGCTGCCAGATGCATTGCGACGTTTATCTTGCTATAGAAAAAAGAAAAACACAAAGGGCCGGCTTCTCTGTCACCATTCAGATGCCTCTCGCACCATTCAGAAGACTGTGGCTAAGCCTGGGAGCTTTCTTTAATGACAAGGATGACATCACCGCCTACTTCACATTTCTGCCGCTCTCAGAAGTAGGTCAACACAAGGCTTCCCCCCCTTTCAATCAAGTCACGATAAAGGGGCACCATTAGCAGGCAGCGGGAGAACACCTCTCGGGAATTTCTATCAAATGAAACCAGCTCAATACTCGCTTCAAGCAGCGCATTGACCAGCACACGCAGGGACTACAGCCGACAGGAACTCGCCAAGGCAGTCATGTCAGAAGAGGCTGAATGCAGCCCTGTAAAATGTCAACTCATCACCGGGTAATTAGCAGCAGATTTGACAGCCTTTGCACGTCCTGAAATGCAAAAGGTTTGTCTCTTAAAAGATGGAATTCATTTTCCTGCTTCAGACATCCATGGAATATTTATTTAGCAGGCGCTTCAGTCTGAAGCGACACACAACTGAGAGAGCAGAGTCAGACACTCACGGCAACAACTGGGGTTAAGGGCCTTGCTCAAGGGCCCAACGGTGACGTCACCCTGCCGACCGCAGGAATTACATCAACAACCTTCTGATCACAGGCCCAGCCAGATGCCCAGCAGAGTCACACACTTAAGTGCCACCACCCAAGAGTGCTACATACTGAAACCCATTAACAAAGACACTAACGGTGCTTTTCAACCGCCTTACGCAAACCATACCACGAACTAACGGGCTTTCCACTGCAAATTATCCAAGCGGTAAACACACTGACATGGCCCTACTTACCAGCATGACAAACTGAGCTGGTTGTGTCACCACCCTGAATGGTCAAAATGCAGGGAGATACCGGTGATCTGCATCAATATGCGTGGATTATCTGATGGATAAGGGCCATATTCTATATATTATTTATTATAAGTAGTATCGCACATCACGATGTATTGATGCGTCCCAGTAACTCGGAACTTGCAAATTTCCAACAACCTAAAAACAGTACTATAGAACAGCCGAATGGAATGGATTTGTAAGGCAAATACACACAAATACAACAATTCTGGAAATGCCGCAATACCTCCCGGGATGACCTGACGAGCCTGGCTTATTGGGCACAAAGTAAGGCAGAGGTGACGTGCCACACCATGACGTTCTATTAACAGACAAATTTGTAAAGGCCGAAGAGGTCAGTCAGCGCACTGGGAACACGGACCCTTGCCATAAAGTAATGCACGTCAGCATATTTGATCACTAATCCTCCTCAACCTCTCAAACAATAAGTGTAGCCTGTGTGTAACCTCAGCTTAAGCCTTTTACATCAGACAACGGCGGGTTGCCACCCACAGATCCGGCAGTCCGCTCTCTGGAAACCGCTTGATAATAGCTTTAAATGAACTGCGCTCAGATGGGATAAAGCATCCCTAGGCTTCAGCAAAGCCACAAGTGAGCGTTTAGGACGAACGTCCAGCAGGAAATTACGGAGGCCGATAACTTCAGGATTTGTTTCGGTTTAAGGCAAAAGAGAACTCTGAGGGAAGGGAGAGCGTGAGGGGCTTTGAAAAATTCTGCAACCGTCCCCCACTGGGAGGGTGCCAGCTCAGCAGAATTCGCGGCACAAGACTTCCCCCGTGGGAGAGGTTGTGCCTGTGGCTTCTTTTGAAGGGCAGCTCTTTATTGCCTGGGCTGTGGCTTCAACTGGTCTAAAGGTAACAGAGGGGAACCGGGCCTTGATCCCCTAGGGGTGATGCTTACTGCTGAGGAGGCCTCTTCAGATGCCCCGCCGCTGCTCTGGGACAGTCTGATAAAATATGAAATTCCCAAATTTCATGTAACTGTGTCACATGTTTACACACCCACCCCGCTACCACAGTGGTGAGATTCCTGCTGTTTCATCTAATAATCTAGAGAGAAACACAGATGCTAACTTGGCCAAAATTCTGCCACAAACACATTTAAATACCTTCATCTTCATCAAGAGCATTCAAGAAAAAGGTATGAGAATACTGACGCACATTACAC